TCGGGGAACAAGCAGAGGAGGACACGTGAACAGCAAAACTTAGTCTGTGCTTGAGGACGGACTGGCGTCTGGAGCCAAGAGGGCAAACGCGAGAAGATAACGTGGCTTCAAGAGCCACAGTGATCTGGGGCTACCTCCAAAGTAGCTCTTTGAGAGGAGAACCTGATACCTCTAATCTCGGAAGAAAAGCAACAATTTGTTCCGAGACAAGGACCGTTCCCGCAGAAATCCAGGTCAGTGGGAAGACAAAGAGGAGACAGACAATGGCATCTGCTGTGCCAGCGCGTGATGACGGCCCCAGCTCACCTCCTCTTCCTCCTCTGCTGCACATTCTCGGGGCACGTTCTCTAACTCCCCCTCGGTCCATTCCCAGTGGTGGCTCCTTTTTATCAGGACTCCAGATTAAGAACCGAGCAGATGGCAGAATTCAATCGCTGGCCTCTTTTCCCCACGCCTGCCCTTGGTAGCCATTTGCTGGGAGCCCAGCAAACACCAAGGACCCACCGAGGCAATGGTGGGCCTGGAGCGGGAACCAGATTTTACTACAGAGCAGTGCTCCTGTCCCCCAGGGGACACACAGCCACGTCTGGGGACATTTTTGGTTGTCACAACTTGGGGTGGGTGTGTACTATTGGCATCTCGTGTATGAAGGCCAGGGATGCTGCTCGACATCCTGTAATGCACAGGGTGGCCCCACAGCAAAGAATGACCCGGCCCCAGATGTCAATGGTGCTGCAGTTGAGAAACTGCTCTAGCAATTTGGTCTTCGCCAAAGTGAGGTTACTAATGATCCTCCGTACTTCTAGAAAGCACAGCGAGCCATTTCTGAAGTCGTCACCTGCCTGAGCCTAGTTTCTATATCGAGAAAATAGGAACTGCAATCCCCTTGCTGCTGGTTGGCAGAATAAAAGAGTTGGGTATAAAAGCATCTATCACAGAAGATGCTCAATAAAGAGCTGCACATGGACGTGCTTATGTGGTTCCCTCTTCCCCACTTGGTTTAACACCTCTGTAGCCTTCAAGGCTTGGCTTAGGGCCAGCCACCTCTCCTGAGGAAACTTGCTGGAATCCCCCATGCCCTGAAGCTTGTGTTGGTCGTTCCTGATTCTGTCCCCACAACTTCTTGTGCCACTTCTGTTGCTGCACTGATCAACTACTCTGAACTCCATTATTCCTGCTGGGGAGGGTGGCCCACTAGAATGTCCCTCCCCCAGGGCACAAGGGCTCATCTCTGCCCCTGGGACCCAGCCCACAGCACCTTGCATGATCAGCCCTTGCTTCACTGAATTCTGGGTCCACCCAAAACGCACAACTTCAGGGAGACAAGGAAAGGGAAGCTTTGAGTTAACAAGCCTCTGTTGGGGATAGAAGATGGATCCTACAGTGAAACAGAATGGGGAGATTCCCAAGTCCCCACCTGCTTCACCAAGTCACAGGCCTGGACCTGAGGGAGGGTCTCACCCAGGGATTTCCAGCCAGAAGGATGCAGCTGAAACCCTGGGAACAGGTATGATGTGCAAAAGCACATTTGGCACTCCAATTTCCCACGTGGAAGATAAGGAAGCAGTAAGATAATCATATTCAGATATAAACTGTAGGACGGAAAGCCCAACAAAAATGGGATCGCCATGGTGGGGATTCACCTGTTGGGGGCTGCATAAAACTAGACAGGGCTGTGTGCTGGAGACACCAAGGCTGGGTTTCAAAGTTGCAGAACACTGATTAGGCCAATCCATTCATTTTGCAAGTAAAGAAACAGACAAAGAGACTTGACAGAGGTTAGGACCCCCAACACAAGACCCTCCAAGAGAGCCTGCCTGGCCACGCTCCTGGAGGAAGGAGACAACAGCAGGGCTGTGGAACCAGAAGATTCTGATCCAGTTCATGGTGGGGGGGGGAGAGGGGGAGGGGGAGTGTCCCAGCCAGGGCAGGCCCATACGCAGAACCTGCATGAGGCATGACTGTGGGCTCTAATCATGTGTTCTGGGGCAAGCGCAGCTGAGAGTCTCGCTTACAGAAGCTTCCATAAGGGCCAGAACATTCTGGAAGTGAACGGGGTGGTCATCTTTCTGTGGCCCTCTTTACATTCAAGCTATCCAGGCTCGTGTCCTGAACGCACTATAAACCCAGGCTCCTTGGCCCTTCTAGCAGGCCCCAGACAAGGATCCCCAGGGTCGGGAAAGAAGAGAAATTAATGCTGATCAAAACGGTTTAGAGCAAGGCCCTCCCCAGAGCCAGGCCCATCAGACAACTTTCCAGCTGCCCATGTCACGTCCCACTGCTCCCGGATGTCTTAAGCGTTTGGAGACTCCAAGCCCAGAACATACCTCAGGAAGGTAGCAGCTGGGACCCTCCAACTGTAAGGCACAATATCCCCACCAGCTCCCACCTCAGACAAAGAGGTGTGGCAGAGGCTTTCCCTTAGACTCCTGGCCTACAAGGCGCCTCTCCCAGGCTGAGCTCACAGCCACCGGGGGACAGATTTCCTGTATGTCTTTTTACCCATTTAAGTCCAAGGATGCAACTCGGAGGAGGTGGTGACAGCCTAGCACATGCGGCTGTGTGCGCACCCACCCCCGCCCCCTCTGAAACCCAGTTCCGGCCCCATAGCTGGGGTGGGGGGGGCCCAAGAGCTCCTTCCTTGCTCCCTAGAACCCCCAGGCTCTAGCCAGTCCGCTCTTAGGAGGACAGTGTTGGGTTTTCAAGTCCTGAATACCGCCCAGAAGGCGCTGAAACTAGCCGGGGCCCCCAGCAGTTGGGGGTGAAGTCAGGGATAAGATGAATCAAGAGGGTAAGATGGGCCCCAAATCTCCATGGTCTGCACCCCAATGTCTGAACGGGGCCATTCTAGTCCTTTCCTTTCCTCCCCTCCTCCCCAGGCTCTCCCTGGACCAGACCTCACTTCTTGCCATGGCTTCCATCCCCCTTCTGCCTCCCCTCCCATCCCCCATTTCCCCTCTTACCAACTCGGCCGGCCACCGCACCAGTGGGTTCAGAGCCCCTCACATTTACTGAGCACCCACTGAGTCCCAGGCGCTGCCCTCCCTCAGGCACCATTCCTCTACCTCTTCACCGTAGGCAGACGCCCCCAGGCCGTTCTGCACCGTTCCCCCCAATCGCACCCTGGCTGTTCCCCCACCGGCCTTGCTCCTCTCAACCCCCAGCCTGGGCCTCTCAACCCCGCCTCCTTGCTTCTCCCCCTCCCAGCCCCGTTTCCTGCGACCCCCCAACTACCACTTAAGCCACGTCCTCTTCAGAGAAGCTGCTCAAAGCCACAAGATCTGCCTCCACACCCGCCCAAAAACTCCCTCACCAGGCTCATCACATCAACTTTCTCCTTCATCGTCCCGTTCCCACTCCGTCTCCTGCAAACTCTCCACGACCCCCAAGCTCGTTCCCGCCTCCTCGACCCCTGCTTTCGCGCCCCCCCCGCAACTAACCCTTAGCCCCGTCCCTCTACAAGGCAGCCCGCCGATGCGAGCTTCGAGATCAAACACTCGAGCCGCGGCCGCCCGGCACTCACCTGGGCCTTGGCCGCCGCGCGCCGCCGGTCCCGGCCCGGGTCCCCGCCCGGCAGCCAGCCCGCTGCTCTTCGGGCGCTCCGCCCCACCGCGCCCGCCGCTCCCCCGCGCGCTCCCGCTTCCGGGTTCCGGAGGGGCGGGTCCGGGGGCGTGACGCCAGGCCGCCAAGGGGGCGGAGAAACACGAATCCCCGCCCATCACTTCCGACCCGGCCCCGTCACCGCCCCCTGCCGCTGCTGGGCGAAACCAAGTGTGAGGGGAGGACAGAGAGACGCGCGAGCAGGAGGCGCCCTCTCTGCCCACAGCCACGCTCTACACGGCCCAAGGCCACCCCTCTTGTAGCTTCGCAATATGGCCTGGTCGGGGCGGGGGCGGGGGGTTTCGACTTGAAGAGCCGGCCTTTGAGTTGAAGGCGGGAAAATGGCGGATACCTCGGGGCGTGGTGCTGGGTGAGTCGAGGCACCGTGGGTCTGGATTTATGGGTGCCAGCTGGAGGGCCTTGGTCGAGGGCTGGGGACAGAGGGGCAGCAGAGTTGGGGAGGGAGGGTCCTTGGGGTGAGTCCGGATCTGACTCCTCCAAGAACCACCGAGGATGCGCAAGTTCTGGGAGGTGGGATGCGGCCTTGCGCATGCTCGGGAGCTTGGGCTCAGGACCTTACAGCGAGTTCGGGTCCCTGGTCAGCCGTTTCGATCCGGGGCGATGTCAGGCGAGTGGCTTAACCTCTCTGTGCCTCGCTTTCCTCCGTCGCGAAACCGGACTGTTGACGCCGCCGTTCGGTTTTGTAGGCCTAGTGTGAGGCTTAAGAGCGTTTAGAATAGTGTCTGGCCCCTAAGTGTGATCCGTCGCTATTACGATTACCGCTTTGTAGTGGGTAACTGCTGGACCACTGAAGTATCTCCTTTCATTCTCCCACACGCTTTTTTCTATTCTCCCCATTACATCTCTCCATTACAAAGGAGATGATGGAGGCTTAGGGAGGGAAGGTCATTTGCCCAAGGGAGACGTCGAACAATGACCTGGTGCCGGGCGTGATTCCTGGGCTTTGTTCATTCTGCCGATGTTTATTGTGCCTGTGCGAATTAAAATTTAGTGGGCCATCTGAAATCACTTGTTTACTCCACAGCCCCTTGACCTAACTGTGAGATTGACGTTAGCCTCTCCGAGGTTCAGGGGAAGTACTTGAGGCTGGAATATACGTAGTGACACCCCTCCCCCACCCCGTGTCCCTGCAGGTTTGGCCTTAGTCCATTTGGTTTGGCTCCAGAGCCCTGGCTCAGACCCCAGAGGGAATCCTTGCTCTGTCTGTTTCCAGTTCTGAGACTCCCCAGGGGTGATCTGTATAAACCTTGGGTCCTTGTCTGGAAAACAAAGATAAAAGCAGGCTAACAGTCAGGTATTTGTAGGGTGGGGAGGATTCCATGAGGGAGTAGAGCAGCTGGCACCCAGCCAGCATTTGTTAAGTTGCCTCTCCCCACTGTGGCTTGGAGGTGCCCCCCAGCATGGCCTGGGTCTCACGTTGGAGTCCCCAGAGCCCACTACACAGAAGATGGCTGCAGTGAGCTGAGCAAGGGGACCACCACTGCTGTCTCCAGTGGAGCCCATCTTGTGACGACAGCAGGATTTACAGCACCCAGACCCCTGCCTGGCATCCCGCTCGCCCAGACTGGACACCTGGGAGGCATCCCCGACTCTCCCACACCCACCGGCTGACTAGTCAGTGATTCCTACTTCATGGGACCCTCTCCTCTATCATGTCAGGCTTCATTCTTTTTTTAAATTGAGGCAAAATGCACATCACGTCAAATGAACCGTTGTAAAGCGAGCAATTCGATGGCACTGAGACATTCACAACGTTGTGCAATCACCACCTCTACCTAGTTCTAGAACATTTTCGTCAGCCCAGAAGGAAACCCTGTGTCCATTTGCAGTCCCGCCCATCCTTCATGCTCCTCAGTCTGCTCCTGGTAACCACCAGTCTGCTTTCTGTCTCTGTGGATTTGCCTGTTCTGGACATTTCATATCCATGGAATCATACACCACGTGGCCTTAGTGCCTGGCTTGTTTGACTCAGGATAACATTTTTGAGATTAATTCGTTTCAGCATTGATAACATTTTTGAGATTAATTCGTTTCAGCATTATCAGTACTTCATTCCTTTTTAGGACTTAATAATATTCAGGGTCATTATTTCTTTTTTATTTACTTTTGGCTGCATTGGGTCTTTGTGGCTGTGCGCGGGCTTTCTCTAGTTGAGGCGAGCAGGGGCTACTCTTCATTGCGGTGCGCAGGCTTCTCACTGCAGTGGCTTCTCTTGTTGCGGAGCACGGACTGTAGGCGCGCGGGCTTCAGTAGTTGTGGCTCACGGGCTCTAGAGCGCAGGCTTAGTTAGTTGTGGCGCACGGGCTTCATTGCTCTGCGATGTGTGGGATCTTCCCGGACCAGGGCTCGAACCCGTCCATGTCCCTTGCATTGGCAGGCAGATTCCCAACCACTGCACTACCAGGGAAGCCCCAGGGTTCGTTATTTCTTGACAGGAGTTTTGCAGCAGACTTCCGTCCCACGCTCCCGATCACTCTTTCACCATGCCAGGGGTCCCCCAACATTGACAGTGTTGACATCTGGGGTGCGATCGTCTCTGTGATGGGGGCCGTCCTGTGCCTTGTAGGGTGTTGAGCAGCATCCCTGGTCTCTACCCACCGAGCCGATAGCAGCCCCCTCTGTTGTGACAATCCCAGGTGTCTTCACACATCGCCAAATGTCTCCTAGGGGTCAGAATTGCCCTCAAGTGAGCACCCCTGAGTTATTTGTCTGACAAATATTTATCAAGTGCCTCCTGTCTGCCAGGCTGTTAGGGACTGAATGTTTCTATCATCCCTCACCCCCTCCTCAAATTCAGTCTTCTCCAGCTAAGCCATAGGGCTGATCAGTTCCAATTTCCGCATCATTCTTCTCTGCGCCTGTGCCCTTGGTCTTGGTGATCCCTGTCTGGGAATATCCTTCCTCACGTGCCTGAGCAAATGGTTCTTTGTCACTCACCCCCAATCCCCACCCCTTTACCTGTCTGGAGTGCTCGCTCTTCACGCTTTGCCTGATGGGAAAATGCTGGTCATCCCTCTCAGGGAAGGAGCTTTGTCTGCTGTTCACCTTGTATCCTCAGTGGTATACAGCTGACACACAAACGCCCAACGAATTAATGAGATCGAGACCTTTGAAGTTCGGCAAAAATGCTCGCTCTTCTCACGTAGGTGTTGTCCCCAGGTGACGGGGCTGGGGCTCCGTTTTCCTCCTGCCATGGAGGTGGCCCCACCTCGCAGAGATGGGTATTGGTGGTGGGTGCTGGGACTGGGCTGTCCCGAGGAAGCCCAGGTTCCTGGCTGGCTTCCCTGAGCTTTCTATCCAACTGCATTAACAAGACCCCCGTTTTCCTCTTTTAGGAAGCCTTCTGCAGGGGGTCCCAGTACTCCTAGCGGTGCTAAGACGAGAGGAAGAAGAATACAAGGTGAGTAAAATTGGAATCTACCTTTTGAAATGGAATCCACTGGAATAAAAAGTGATTTTTTCTTTCCCCCCCAGTAAGTGCTTTTGGAGAAGAGAAAAACAGACCAGAGCAGGGGAGCTGGGGCTTTACCCGCTTCTAGTCACACCTTTGGGGACCCCAAGTCTGGTTACCCAGCCCTGCAGCCAGGGGTGTGGCAGGACCTGGTGGGGGTCATCTAGGGCAGTGGGCCCTTCCGGCCATGGGGCTCACGGGTTGTACCCAGGGCTCATCACTTGGAAGTGTGGGTGGGGAGAGTGTGAGCTGAATTCGTTAGGAAACATCAAAGTCTGTTTCTTCTCAGTAAGCGCGTCAGACCCTTGGGGATGCCCACACATCCGATGTCTACCTGTGCGTCCGGGGTCACTGTCAACAGCCCCCCTTGACTCTTGGCAGTGCCCAGTTTGGGGCTGTAGACGCAAGGATCTCCCGCGTTGGATCTCAAGCCTCTGTTATGATGAAGTATTTTTTTATGCCTGTGCACTAGTGCAGGTCTCAGAGAACTTGAAGCAGAATTCCGGTTCCAAATGACTGGAGGTTTATATGTTATAGCATCACAGCATCGCTGGGTGATCTAGTCTGTAACATCTGTTGTATTTACACAGGGTCTAGTTCTTGGACGCAAATTATATCCTTCATTGTAACATTGCTTCTGTGGAAAATCCACCACTGTTGAAAACAAACAGGTGCCTTCTAGTTTTCCAGAAACTTGAAACTGCTTTTCAACTGTGCAAGGAACCCAGAGCCTCCTTCCTACCCTTTGCTGATGGTATTAGAAAGACCCAATGCAGGATGGTCTCCCCGCCTTGGAACTGGGGGTGTCCTTCGCCCCAATCCTTCACTGGACATCCAGTGGCAGACCCTAGGTGGGGCTCGATTCTCTCCCCTGGACCCCGCCTGGTCCTGGCCTCAACCCCTAGGTGCCTCCTGCCTGAACGTCTGAGCCACTTGCCCTGCAGGCACGGCTCATCCCTGCCTGGGGCACGCCCGGGGCAACCAACACCTCCGTGTCCAGCTCCAGGCAGCCTGTGAACTGTTGGTTGTACCTCTTTTCCACTCAAGCTTGCGGCTGCAACCCCATCTAAAGAAAGATGCAAATCCGGGCATGAAGGTGATACGGTTGGAATCCCAGTCTCGGGACTGAACTGTCAAGGCAGGTGACACTGACCACATCACTCTCTCTAGTAAAAAGGGAGACCCCTGAGCTCTGGGGGCACCTAGGAAAAGTGCAGACTCATGCATCTGACACATTGCTGAGCACCTCCTCCCTGCGAGGTGGTGGAACGTGGCAGCAAGCAAAACAGACAAGAATCCCTCCCCTCAGGGGGCTTGCCACCCCGGACACAGGCGGTGAATCAGGAGACGGAAGGAGACACAGGGTGTATTGGACAGTGACAGTTGCTGTGGATAAAACAGCAGGATGGGGGTAGCTTCTGGCCTAAGGGAGGGGCTGGGCCGAGCAGAGTCGTGAAGGCGGCAGGGGTGGCATGTGCCTGCTGGTTGGAGGGACAGGTGACGTGGGACCTGCAAGGTGTCTGGAGGCACTCACCCTTCACCAGCTAATGGACCCGGAAGACAGCCTGCTGCAGCTGCCAGAGGGCCAGTCGGCCTGGAGGACAGAGTGTCTCAAGAGGGAGGGTGCAGGGCTTCCCTGGTGGCAGTGGGTGAGAATCCACCTGCCAATGCAGTCGACACGGATTCAAGCCCTGGTCCGGGAAGAGCCCACATGCCACAGAGCAACTAAGCCCGTGCGCCACAACTACTGAGCCTGCGCTCTAGAGCCCACGACCCACAACTACTGAGCCCGTGTGCCTAGAGCCTGTGCTCCACAACAGGAGAAGCCACTGCAATGAGAAGACCACGCACCGCAGCGAGGAGTGGCCCCCGCGCGCCGCAACTAGAGAAAGCCTGCATGCAGCAACGAAGACCCAGTGCAGCCAAAAATAAATAAATTAAATAAATTAAAAAAAAAAAAAAGGAGAGTGCAAGTGAGCACTGTGTGCAACGCTGCCGCTGGCTCAGAACGAGGACTGAGAAGGGACGGGTGGGCATCAGAGCAGGGAGATCTCCGTGGTCTGGATGAAAGGAGTTTCTTTGGTGCCGTGGTAACTGTGAGAGCCAGGCTGGGGTGTGGGGGGGGATTCAAGGGAAGGAGAGAGGAGAAGAAGAGGATCCGCCATGGCAAAGGGGAGCAGAGAAATGGGGGAGGGGAGGGGAGGGGGGATGAACAGTGTGACCATTGGAGAGAGGAAGTGGGGTGATACAGGGTGGGGTGATACAGGGTGGGGCAGGGGGAGAGGGGTTGCCAGGGCAGTTTCCTAACGGAGTGAGGGCTGGGCTCTAGCACCCAGAGTTGGGGGGTTGGTTTTACCCCAAAGCACAGAGGTCGCTCCACATGGGGGGCCCAGGATATGTCTCTGAGGTTGGGAGGCAGCTAGATGCCCAGGTGGGAGGATCTCCTGGGGCTGCTTTTGTCTTCCCAATGAAGTAGGAAACAGGTTACCAGCTGACCAGAGGGATGGCCCGGTGTAGGAAGTGGGCGGGAGGGTCTGGGAGAGGGGTTGGGGGATCAGAACAGAGGACTGTGGATGATCACAGGGGCTGCAGCGAGAGCCCCTGGAGGTTGGGGGGACACATGTGTCTCCTTCACACACCTTCAGCGCCCCAGGATCAGGATGGAAGGGCACCTGGGGCTGGGCTGTCACCAAGGGATACAGCCGTGTCCGAGAAGAGCGTCAGTGCCTAGGGTGTCTCAGGAGAGTGGTCCTGAGCTAGGTGAGGGGGGTGGGGGATGTGAAAGGCAGTACCATGAGCGGGTCATAGATGGGCTTGTGGGGGAAGGGCAGTTGGGGTCATGACCACAGGGAGTGAGTTGGGGAGGGAAGAGGAGGAGAGCAGGTGGCCATCTTTGGAAGATCTTTCTTCCTTTCCCTGCCCTGCCCCTGAGTCCACTTTCTGTTTTGAACTTTGGCACATATTTCTGATCTTCCTTGATCGTAGCTCCTGTGGGTCTCTGTGTCTCCGCTTCTAGCCCTGGTGCTTGTATACAGCAGGTATCCTATAAATGTTCTTGCATACAGTAGGTGTTCCATATATGTTCTTTTAAAAAAGCTTTTAAAAGAGAATTTATTATTTACTTATTTTAATTTATTTTTGGCTGTGCTGGGTCTTTGTTGCTGTGCGCGAGCTTTCTCTAGTTGTGGCGAGCAGGGGCTACTCTTCGTTGCAGTGCGTGGGCTTCTCATTGCGGTGGCTCCTCTTGTTGTGGAGCACGGGCTCTAGGTGTGCGGGCTTCAGTAGTTGTGGCACAAGGGCTCAGTAGTTGTTGCTCGTGGGCTCTAGAGCACAGGCTCAGTAGTTGTGGCGCATGGGCTTAGTTGCTCTGCGGCATGTGGGATCTTCCCGGACGAGGGATTGAACCTGTGTCCCCTGCATTGGAAGGCGGATTCTTAACTGTTACACCACCAAGGAACTCCCTCCATATATGTTCTTGCATAGAGTAGGTGTCCCATACATGCTTGAGGGTGAACGGGGAGGGCTGATAGCACCCGGCTCTCGGGGTGGGGGACGGGCATCCTAGGTGCATGGTGGGTCCTCACAGTCCATGTCATAGTTTTATTATAAACCAACAGTGTGTCCCCCACAGGTGGAAGAGTGGTTGAGTCCCGGTACTTGCAGTATGAGAAGAAAACCACCAAAAAGGTAACATACAATGTACGTTTGAAACAGTTCTGAACAGAGTTCTGACGAACTTGGAATTCTGAGACAAGTCACACCGGCCAGGCACAGCCTGGTCCTGAAAGAAGCATTCTGGGGGCTTGGTCCAGTTGCCTTTGGGGCTGTCATGCCCTTCGTGCCAAGGCAGGAATCTCTGTCATGTGTGGCTGGTCACTTTGAGAATCTCTTTTGCAGAGCCATGATCTCTGGTGAATCATAAAATTATTCCTGTCTCTCAACCCGGTAATTCCTTTCTGGATTCTGTCCTGAAACAGTTCTGTCTAATGCCTGGCACGTGGTTACCCAGCCTTGGCCTGTATTGTAAAAAAATACCTGTAGGGTTTTAGAGAAAGGGTTTTAGGGGAAAAAAGACATGGCTGAATCACCCAGTGTTACAGGAAGAGTTCAGTGAACTAGCCACACCACAAAAACCATGAAACCATTGAAAATGATGGCATGAAACACTTAACATCTTGGGAACCTGCTTTGTGTGATGTTTAATGAAAATAATCATTAGATTACCCAATGACATATTTTGTTTCAGTGTGTATGGACGGATAGTGTGGTGAAGGTTGTGTTATTCCATTTTCCAAATCTTTGTTTATGATAAAGTTTAGTTAAATATTAATTTCTGCTGCCTTTCTTTTACTCTGGTAGGGTGAATGGCAGGTTAATGTGGCTTAAGATTTGGCTTGAAGAAAAAGGATACCTTTATGCAAACTGATATGCTTCTTGGAGTGACTTTGTTTTTTAATGGACTTTATTTTTTTAGAGCAGTTTTAGGTTCAAAGCAAAATTGAGTGGAAAGTACAGAGATTTCTCATACACACCCCTGCCCGCCCCCTCACATGCGTAGCTTCCCTGTTGTCAACATCCCGCCGCAGAGTGGGGCATATTTACAATCGATGAACCTACATTGACACATCCTTACCCAGAGTCCGTGGTTTACAGTATTGAAATGATTTTCAACAGAGAATACTAGTCCACACTTCATAATTTTAACGTTGCCTGGCAAACTTGGTTACAGCACCCCCATGTGTTTGCACGTTCTAGTATTTTAGATCTTTAAGAGCTTCTCCGTTTTCTTCTTTTTTCATCTTTTAAATTAAGGTGTAATTTACATAGAGGAAGTGTCACTCTTCAGCATACAGTGCTCTGAGTTTTGAAAAACACATCCAGTCACAGACCCATCACAGTCAAGATAGAGAACACTCTGTCACCACCGCCCCCCACTCCAAAGTCCCCTTGTGCTCCCATGGAACCAGCCCCTCCCCACCCCAGGCAACCATGATGTGTTTTCTGTCCCTGTAGCTTTGCCTTTGCAGTAGGCTCACTTAAAAGGTGCCACCCAGGATGCAGACTCTTGCAGTCTGGTTGCTTTCATATAAAGGTCCCTCCGTCCCTGTCGTTGCCTTTTATAGTTAGTGCTAGTTCCTTCTGATGGCTGAAGAATATTCCACTGTACGGATGGACCACAGTGTGCACAGCCACTCCCTGGCAAAGGACATTTGGTTTGTTTCCTGATTTTGGCAATTATGAATAAAGCCACCTTAAACATTCCTGTGCAGAATTCTGTGTGGATGTGTTTTCATTTTTCCCAGGAGGGGAATTGTAGGGTAAATGTCTGTTTGACTTTGTTAGTAACTGCCCAGCTGGTATCCAAAGTGGCTGCCCCTTTTTACATTCCTATGAGCCACAGAGAAGAGTCAGTACTTTAGGACTGAAACCATTCTGGTGGGTATGAAGTGGTATCTCATTGTGGTTTTAAACTGCATTTCCATAACAACTAATGATATTGAGCGTCTTTTCATGTGCTTATTGGCCAGTCCTATATCTTTGGTGATATGTCCTTTCAAATCTTTTGCACATTAAAAAAAAAATGAGGTTGTTTGTTTTCTCATTATTGAGTTTTGAGGGCTCTTTCAATATCTTAGATACCAACTCTTTATGGTGATTTGCAAATATTTTCTCCCAGTGTGTGGCTTGGCTTTCCATTCTCTTAAGTGTCTGGTGAGGAGCAGAAGTGCTCGATTTTGATGAGGTCCAATTTATCGATTTCTGCTTTTATGAAATGTGCTTTTGGTTTCTTCTCTAAGAAATCTTTGCCTTACCCAAGACCATAAAGATTTTCTCCCATGTTCTCTTCTATATAAGTTTAGGTCTGTGGTCCATTTTGAATTAATTTTTGTGTCTGGTGTGATGATGGAATTAAAGTTCGTTTTTAAGTGTGTGGATGTCCTCTTGTTCCAACACCATTTGTTGAAATGACTTTCCTTTCCCTGTTGTATTGTCTCATCACCTCTGTTGGAAAGCAATTGACTATATATGTATGCATCATTTCTGGACTCTATTCTTTTCCATTGTTCTACATGTCTATCTTTAGTCCATTTCCATACTGCCCAGGTTACTTTAGCTTTGTATTATAGTAAGTCTTAAAATTGGGTTGTGTGAATTTTCCCACTCTGTTCTTTTCCAAAACTGACTCTTCTAGTTCCTTTGCCTTTCCATATGAATTTTAGCCTTAGCTTGCCATTTCCTACCAAAACTTTGGGGATTTTAATTGTATTGAATCTATGCATTAGCTCAGGGAGAATAACATCCTAAAAACACCCAAGTCTTTCAATCCATGAACATGGTATACCTCTCCCTTTATTTGGTCTTAGATTTTTTTCATCAGTGTTTTTGTAATTTCTAGCATACAGACCTTCCCCATGTTTGCTTAGGTTTACACCTAAGTATTTGGTGTTTTTTTAGTGCTATTATGCAAGGTACTATCTTGTCTTTTCTTTCTTTCTTTCTTGAAGAAATTTTATTTGTTTGTTTAGAAATAATTCACATATAACATTATATTAGTTTTAATTTTATTTATTTATTTTTAATTTTTGGCTGCATTGGGTCTTTGTTGCTGTGTGCAGGCTTTCTCTAGTTGTGGGGAGTGTGGGCTACACTCCGATGTGGTGCTTGAGCTTCTCATTGCGGTGGCTTCTTTTGTTACCGAGCACTGGCTCTAGGCACTCGGGCTTCAGTAGTTGTGGCTCACGGGCTCTAGAGCACAGGCTCAGTAGTTGTGGCACATGGGCTTAGTTGCTCTGCAGCATGCGGGATCTTCCCAGACCAGGGATCAAACCCATGTCCCCTGCATTGGCAGGTGGATTCTTAACCACTATACCACCAGGGAAGTCCCAATACTAGTTTTAGAGGTACAACATAATGATTCAATCTTTGCAAATATTGCAAAATATCATCACAGTAAGTCTAGTTAACATCCATCACCGCACAGAGTTACAAAATTTTTTTCTTTGCTCAGAACTTTTACATGGTACTGTCTTTTTTTTTTTTTTTTAATATTTATTTATTTAGGCTGCTCCGGGTCCTAGTTGCGGCATGCAGGATCTTCGTGTGGCACGTGAGATCTTTATTTGTGGCATGTGGACTTTTAGTTGTGGCTGCAGATTTCTTACTTGTGGCATGCAGACTTCTTAGGTGCGGCATGCGAACTCATAGTTGCGGCATGTGAACTCTTAGTTGCGGCACGTGTGTGGGATCTAGTTCCCCGACCAGGGATCGAACCTGGGTCCCCTGCATTGGGAGCTCAGAGTCTTATCCACTGGACCACCAGGGAAGTCCCATGGTGCTGTCTTTTAATCTCAATTTCCAAAGTTGTTCATTGCTAGAAATATCTTTTTATGTTGACCCTGTATCCTGCAACCTTGCTAAACATGTTAGTTTTAGTAGTGTTTTTTAGTATGTTTTGAGATTTTCTATGTGAAGAGTCATGTCTGCAAGAAGAGAGTTTTATTTCTTCTTTTGTAACCTGTTTGCCTTTTATTTCTTATTCCTAGACTTCCAATGGGAGGTTGAATAGGAGTGGTGTCTGTACATCAAAATATTCTCATTCTTTATAAGGTCTTTTTTTTTGCTTTTTTTAATTTTATTTTTTGGCCGCGCCACGTGGCTTGTGGTGGGATCATAATTCGCTGACCGGGGATTGAACCTGGGCCTTGGCAGTGAAAGTGCCGAGTCCTAACTACTGGACCACCAGGGAATTCCCTCTTTTTGCTTTTATATTGTTATAATGGCTTGCTAGCTCCATGCACTGCTTGCTTTTTTAATAAGTTTTGAAGATTAATACCTGTCCAAAAGCTTTGTTTTTTCTGACAACCGGAGTAATATGTTCTCTTTCCTAAACTGGCCAGTACTAAAAATTATGCAGAAAATCAGTCATCTGTAATCTGCCATGTCAGAGATCATCACCAGCAAACATTTTGGTGGTTTCCTATGTTCTACGCGTGTGAGGGTATCCTTCTGACAAAATTAGTTCATCCTGTATGTATGCAATTAAATGTCAGAACTCCTTGAATCTATCCCTTGCCTCAAGGTAAGAGCAGATGCAGACCTTGCAAACTGCAGAGGGGCCCCTTCTCGTGGAAGGAAAGTGTCTTGTCCCCTGAATGTCATATATTCCCCTAACAGCCTCCTGCAGCAGATGCATTAAAGGCCAGTGGGAAGATGCCTGAAGGTGGAAGAAAACCCAACCCATTCCAGAAGAGCAAAGGTACGTAAAGATGGAAGGAGGGTGAAACAGCACTGAGGCTTAGGAAGTGATGAGCGTGGTGGTGAATTTTGTTTTTAAGTATGCAAGTTTAAGACGCCCTTTCCTTTCTGGAAAGTATGAGGAAAAGGAGCTTGGCAGAGAGTTTCAGCATAAAGACAGATTTGGGGCATATGAAGATCTGAAGGGGGTTGGCAGGGGAATGGGGGGGAGTCATTTCCTTTCTATATGACCCCACAGAAGAGCCGCATTGCCATCATGGTACTCCCCTGGGGCACCAGTTCCCTGATCATGTGACTGTTTCCCCACCAGAGCTCTGAGAGCAGGAATTTCAGAGAGGGTATGAGACCTCATTTTCCTGCCTCTCACTACCTTGGGTTGGGTCTTCCTCATAATGGTCTCCCCATACCCCTTCTACTAGAAGCTTTCACCAAAGTGATATGAAAAACTTTCAGTTTTTCTGGTTGTAGACATGATATGCGTTTGTTATTAAACAAAATTGGAGAATGTAGCCCAGAAGGGCGGAAACTCACTTATGATCTACCACTCAGACCATCGCTGTTGGTATATTTGCTATTTGGTCCTAGTCAGTGTGCTCATTCTAGAAGTCTGGGAAGGCTCCTCTCCAGAGTAGTAGTTCACCCACCTCCTCCAGTGCCTGCTTCACCAGCAGTGGTGGGCAGCTCTTCTTTTGCATAAGAGCGAGTCACAGAAAGCAAAATTGTTTCTCGGCCTGCAAACCCTCATTCAGAATGGTGACAGCTTTGCGTCCCATAGAGGAATACTAAGTATGTTCTTTTACAGGTTAGATTTCCTGCTTATTGTTCAGATCAAGGGTCAGCAAAACTTTTCTGAGCCAGTGGTTAGTATTTTAGGCTTCGCAGGCCAGGGGGTCTCTGTCATAGAAACTTAACTCTGCCTTATCGCAGCGTGAAAGCAGCCACAGACAGTGTGTACACAAGTGGGCATGTCTGTGTCCCAGTTATTTACAAACACAGGAAGTGGGCCGGATCTGGCCTGCATGCTAGAGCTCGCTGATCTTGGCTTGGATGTTTGTCAGAAATTGTGCTGTTCCTTGACCCAGGCACGATTGAGAAGCAAGCACATGGAGCTGGAGCCGGCCTTCTAGTCTTTTCTCATGCAGTTGGGTTGAAGGCCATGTGTGAAGCTGGGAAAGCTGGCATGGCCAGAGGGGTCAAAAACTGGGCCTGCCACATTTAAAAATCAGGGTTCTCAGGACTTCCCTGGTGGCGCAGTGATTGAGAATCCGCCTGCCGATGCAGGGGACGCGGGTTCGTGCCCCGGTCCAGGAGGATCCCACATGCCGCGGAGCGGCTGGGCCTGTGAGCCATGGCCGCTGGGCCTGCGCATCCGGAGCCCACAGGCGGGAGAGGCCATAGCAGTGAGAGGCCCGTGTACTGCAAAAAAAAAAAAAAAAAGAGCAGAGGGCAGAACAAGTATATCATGTGTTATTAGATTCTTATACCCTGAACACAGCATCTTTTATTTTTTATTTGAAGTATAGTTGATTTACAGTGTTGTGTTAGTTTCAGGTATACAACAGAGTGGTTCAGTTATACATACATATATATATATTTTATACACACACACACACACACACATACACACACACACACACATATATATTTTTCAGATTCTTTTCCCTTATGGGTTATTACAAAACATTGAGTAGAGTTCCCTATGCTATACAGTAGGTCCTTGTTTATCTGTTTTATACATAGTGGTGTGTATATGTTAATCCCAAACTCCTGATTTTTCCCCCCCTTCCCCTTTGGTAACCATAAATTTGTTTTCTATGTCTCTGGGTCTGTTTCTTTTTTGTAAATAAGTTCATTTGTACACAACACCTTGTACTTAAACTAAGCAGAAAGCCTTATTTGTATCTTTCAGTTATAAAGACTGCATCTCTTTTCTAGTTCTACTTTAAAATATATTCAAGTTGATGGGTGGGAATTTCCAAAGGTTTTTCAGCCTTCTCTACTGCTCCCTCATAAGAAACTGAGTTTTTGGAACCAGGTGAAATTGTACAGAAAAGTTAGCTGCTCCCGGCCTTAAGTATAGAGTATCTTGCTGACTGTGTTGACTTCTGGGGATTCTCATTGGGCCCACAGACAGCAGTGGAACTGGCAAAGGTGACCTGCAGTCTACCTTGCTGGAAGGGCATGGCACTGCCCCACCTGACCTGGATCTCTCGGCCATTAATGGTAAGTCATTGGCTGTACCTGTCCTTTCCCCAGCTGGGGGTTGCAATGCATGTCTGAGGGCTCCCAAAATATGCTCTTCTCACCTTAAAAACACTTTTTTTTTTAAATTGAAGCATAGTTGATTTACAGTGTTGTATTAGTTTCAGATGTACAGCAAATTGATTCAGTTATACATATATATATCTATTCTTTTTCAGATTCTTTTCCCTTATAGGTTATTACAAAATATTGAGTATAGTTCCCTGTGCTATACAGTAGGTCCTTGTTGGTTATCTATTTTATATACAGTAGTGTGTATGTGTTAACCCCAACCTCCTAATTTATCCCCCCCCCCTTTGGTAACCATAAGTGTTTGTTTTCAATGTCTGTAGGTCTGTTTCTGTTTTGTATAAGTTCATTTGTATCATTTTTTTTTTAAGATTCCACATATAAGTGATATCATATGATATTTGTCTTTCTCTGTCTCGCTTATTTCACTTAGTATGATAATGTCTAGGTCCATCCATGTTGCTGCAAATGGCATTATTTCATTCTTTTATATGGCTGTGTATATATACCACATCATCTTTATCCGTTCATCTGTTGATGGACATTTAGGTTGCTTCCATGTCTTGGGTATTGTAAATAATGCTGCTGTGAACACTGGGGTGCATGTATCTTTTCAAATTATGGATAAAACGCTTTTCTTGATCTTAGACAAAAGCGTGGTCCGAAAGACTCCACAGTTAGAAAAAACAATGTCAAAGAAAGCTGAGTCATCATCATTTTCTGCCTTGAGGAAAAAGAGCCCAGTAAGTCTCTGAAATGAGAGGGAAGCCACTATAGCAGGTTGGCTAAATCTGCCCTGTGCCACGTGCCCCTCGAAACCCGGGGACTCCAAGAATAAACAAGCCAGCTGTGCCTTTTAGAACAAAAACCTTACCCATCCTTAGAGGATTTGCAGTTTCAGTTTCCCCAGCTACATGTACAGGAGGGGATACAAATGCAGGATCATGTGAAAAATGAGATTGAGGCCTTGTTTGCCAGTGCCACGCTAGGGAAGGCACTGGGCCAGGCCCTGTTCACGGCAGGGAGGGCGGCCAGGCTGTGGTCTCACCCAGGTGGGAACCCCAAGTCCTGGTTCTGGCAAGGCAACAAGTTGGTGGGTGCCCTTCAGCTTACGCTTGACAGCCCAGCTTGCAGGAAGGGACCAAACCACCTTCCTTTTCACAGAGGACTCGAAAGACTAAATGAGCAAATAGAAACGAGTCGATACGCAGTCTAGAATTGTTGAATTACTGATTGAAAAAAAGTACAGACAGGTTAGGATTCTGCCCCTCCCCGGAAAGAGAGCTGGCTCTATACCAGTTCACGGGGAACCAGCAGTGTCTTTTTCTTCTCCTGAAGGATCTCTCCGAAGCGATGGAAATGATGGAATCCCAAACACTACTCCTGACTCTGCTGACCTTGAAGGTGAGGACGGAGCCTCCTGCACGCGTGTCGTGGGTGGAAGGGCGGCCACCGTCAGCCGCGGAGGTGAGGTCGCCTCTGGCCTGAGCTTTTGTTTTGCATTTCCCAGATGGAAAGTGGTCTTGCTGCATTCGAAGAAAAGGCAGAAAAGAATTTATTAATAATGTGCAAAGAGAAGGAGAAGCTCCAGAAAAAAGCTCACGAGCTGAAGCGCCAATTTCTCCTCTGTCAGAGGAAGCGGGAGCTGGCAGGCGTCCTGGACGCGCAGGTCAGGGGTGACCGCAGCCTCCAAGAGGCGCATCCTGGCAGCATTGTCCCACGGGGGTGGTGGGGGAGTGGTTGGAGGGAGCCTTTATTGTGAGCGTCGCTCCTCGCCTGGCTCTGACCCTGTGCCCGGCTTTTGACACCACTGGGTGTTGCTATGTGACGGTTTATCAGAGGACAAGGCGGTAATGTCAGAACCAACCAGCAAGAGGGCTCTGTCCCTTTAATACACATGGGCATGTATTCTGGTGACTTGTATCCTGAGACTTGTGCCCAGTGACACAGATGTACTCCAGACCTGCCCATTTGGGCCAGGGTGCTGGTGGGAGACTTGGGCTTGGTGCTGTGTGGTCAGTGCTGGGACGGGAGTGTCCATGCTAGGGAAGGTCACAGCGAATCGTGGGAACCTAGAAAGGACCGATCAGGGAATGGGGCTCCTCACCCAGTAAGTATGTATCCTGGGGCCGCCATAACAAAGGACCGCAGAGTGCGCGGCGGCTTAGACAATTGACATGTATTCTCTCTCAGTTCTGGAGGCTGTAAGTCTGAGATCAAGGTGTCTGCAGGGTTGGTTCCTTCCGAGGGCCACGAGGGAAGGATGTGTCCCAGCTTCTTTCCTTGGCTTGTCGATGGCGTCTTCTCCCTGTGTCTCGTCACCTGGCTCTCTCCCTCTGAGTGTCTGTCTCCACATTTCCCCCTTTTGTAAGGACACCTGTCATACTGATCAAGGTCCAGCTTAATGACCCCACCTTAACTGAATTACCTCTGTAAAGTCTCCAGATCAGGTCACATTCTGAGGTGCTGGGGGTTGGGATGTCAACAGAGGAATTTGTGGGGACACAATTCAGCCCGTAACACCCAGCATGTACACATGAGTGTGCCCAGCAGCCCGGCCCTGAGCTGAGAACAGGGTCCCTATCCTCGTGGAACTCACAATAGAAGGGAAGGGAAAGACAGTCAAACAAATGAATCCTTACAACCCCCAGACGGCGTGTACAAGGGAAAAGGGGTTGCCGGGCATGGCCTTGGTGGGGGGCAGGCATGTCAGCTCAGTGCTCTGAAGCAGGAGGGCCCAGCCCTGGAACAAGCTGGAAGGCGGACACATGTTCCTGGTGAGGAGACCCAGGCCACCTTGCTACTGGCCGGGCCATCTTCGGGGCACCTGGGAGTGAGGGGAGAGCCCACTGCACCGTTGGAAGTTTCTCTGGGAGACCTGGCAGAACAGTGCTGTGTCTTAACCTCACAGGTGCCATCTGCTAAACTTCTGGCGAGGTGAGTGCAGGGCCTCGTCCCACAGGCTCCTTCCCCTTCTGCCTGCAGATCGAGATGCTGAGCCCCTGTGAGGCCATAGCCAGCTGCTTTAAGGAACGATACAAGACATTTGCGACGGCCCTGGACACCACGAGGCATGAACTGCCCGTGAGATCGGTCCACCTGGACGGAGACGGGCAGTGCTTCTTAGGTAGGAAACGGGGCAACTGCCCGGCAAGGGGTGGGACAAACCTCCCAGTGCATGCTGGCGTCTCCCGTGTCCTGGGCATCTTTATCCGTTCGTGTCAGGTCATAGGCCTCCTCTCAGGTAGACGGCGCATACCCCATCAAATGGCAGAAGACGCAGGGGGCCAGCAAGGCTGCGGTTTGTGTGGGGTCGTGCCCTAAGTAAGGACTGTGTTGGGATTTGAACCTAGGTCTGTAGGACCCCCACAGTGATTTCCCGTCCTGCTGAAAGGCGTCCTGGGGAGCCTGCTGTCTCTACAAAGGTGCTTTGGTGGCTGGGGAACAACAGGGCCACCGACCCCAGCCCTGTCCTGCCTTCTAAGCAGAGCTGAGAGGGTCCCTTTCCTGTATAGCGTTCCCACCTAATACTTCACTTGAAGAAGGTGGCAAGTGTGGAGTGCCATCCTCTATCCTAAAATTCTCTTTAGAACAAGTATCTTCCCCAAACAAGTTTTCAGCTGCCCTACAGTTTGGTCCTCCCTCTCCCTCCCTCCCTCCCTCCCTCCCTCCCTCTGCCTGCCTCCCTCCCTCCCTGTCTCCTGTACCCCACCCTCCCTTCCTCCCTTTCTTTCTCTGAAGTATAGTTGATTTATCAATACAATGTTGTGGTAGTTTCTGCTGTATTGCAAAGTGACTTAGTTATACACATATAGACATTCTCTTTTTTTTTGTATTCTTTTCCATTATGGTTTATCACAAGATATTGAATATAGTTCCCTGTGCTATGTAGTGGGTCCTTGTTTATCCATCCTATAGATACTAGTTTGCATCTGCTAACCCCAGCCTCCCACTCCATCCCCCCCGCTGCCCCTTGGCAACCACAGGTCTGTTCTCTGCGTCTGTGAGTCTGTTTCTGTTTCGTAGATAAGTTCATTTATGTCATATTTTAGATTCCACTTATAAGTGATGTCATATGATACTTGTCTTTGTCCGGCTTACCGCACTTACTATGATAATCCCTAGGTCCATCTGTGTTGCTGCAAATGGCATTATTTCATTCTTTCTTATGGCTGAGTAGTATTCCATTGTATATAGGTACCACATCTTCTTTATCCATTCACCTGTCCATGGACATTTAGGTTGCTTCCATGTCTTGGCTTATTGTAAATAGTGCTGCTATGAAGATAGGGGTGCATGTATCTTTTTGAATTAGAGTTTTGTCCAGCTATATGCCCAGGATTGGGATTGCTGGGTCATATGACATAGAGTTTGGTTATTTCTAAGCAAAGTTCTCATGAGCCACCTGGACGTGTTTAGCTTGATTTTACTGATGTAAAATCAAGCCTTTTCCGACGTGAAATAGTATATGTGTGAAACGGGACCTGAAAAATGAGCCATGTTGAACCATCATCTGTGTCCAGGTTTCTAATTTTATAATTATGGCAACCAACTGCACGTCTATATCTCTTGGTCTCCATCTCTGATAAATGCCCTAGATAGTTGCCAGGAGTTGGGATTGGGGACTGTTTGAGTTTCCTAGGGCTTCTGTAACAAAATACCACAAACCAGGTGGCCTAAAACAACAGAAATTTATTCCCTCCCAGTTGAGGGGACTAGAAGTCCGAAATCAAGGTGTCATTGGGGTTGGCTTCTTCTGGAGGCTCTAGGGGAGAATGCATCCCCTGGCTTTTAGTGTTCTGGCAATCTTGGCTCATGGAGCATTCCTTCAGACTCTGACTCTGTTTTTTTTTTTTTATTAAGCTTTTTAAAAATATTTATTTATTTATTTTTGGCTGCATCGGGTCTTAGTTGTGGCACATGAGATCTTTTCGTAGCAGCGCGTGGGCTCTTCATTGCGGCGTGCAGGCTCCAGAGTGTGGGGGCTCTGTAGTTGTAGCTCTCTAGTCGTGGCTTGTGTGCTCCGTAGCTGTGGCATGCGGGCTTAGTTGCCCCGCGGCACGTGGGATCCAGGGATCGAATCTGCGTCCCCTTCATTGGAAGGAGCATTCTTAACCACTGGACCACCAGGGAAGTCACCAAGCTTTATTTTATTTTGGTATTGTTTTTTGTTTTTTTAAAATTTTTATTGCAGTATAGTTGATTTACAGTGTTGTGCTGCTGCTTCTGTCTTCACATGGCCTTGTTTCTGAGCGCCTCTGTGTCTAAACTGCCCTTTTCTTAGAAGGACACCAGTTATTGGATTAGGCCCCTCCCTAATGACCTCATTCTAACTCCGTTATATCTACAAAAACCTCATTTCCAGTTAGATCACCTTCACAGGTACTTGAGATTAGGACCTGAACATGTCTTTTTGGGAGGACACAGTTCAGTCCCCTGGCAAAGAAGATATGTGTTTGTAAGAACGCTTATAAGGTTCCCCAAGTGTTATAATTTACAGCTGGGACATGTGCTGGACTCGGAGAGATGCTGGCTTTGTTAGAGCAGGGGGGACCCAGCGCTGTTGCAGGCGGCTCTCTGCTGGGGGGGCGTTGGGGGCAGAAGTGCTGGGAACCGGGAGTGGGAACCATGGGTTTGTTCTTAAGTTACTCCTAGACCAGATCTTCTCTGTCTTTTGGATTTGCTTCTGCTGAGGACACCAGTGCACCATTCCAGGTATGTTCCGATGACTGCCTAGATGGCAGACACGCATGGCCTGCCATCTCAGAGCCCCGTGATCTCAGGCAAAGGGGCACAGAGGCAGTACCAGTGCACGAATATCTTCCTTCACGACCCTTTCTGCCTTCGAGCTCATCACGATTCCTGCATAACAAGAGAGCATTCCAGCAAAAGGAGAAAAATACAGTCAGCCAGCCAGCTCGTGCATCCATTGCTTGGGGCACCTTGAAACCATGGCTGACAACCCCTTTTCCCCTCCAGACAAGTTGCAGGGGGAATTGACGACCACATGCCATCTGCTGGGAGAACTTGGCATCAGCAGCTCAGAAGAAAACGCAAAGGCCTTGGACCTGCTGAGGGAACTCAAGGAAATGACCCAAAAGAAGGATCTGGAGCTCCAAAGGTATTACAGAAAATATTTTTTAAAAAAGATAGTGCCCCTCTCCCTGCATCTCCTCGTCGGGCAGAGATGGGCTGTTGGCGGCTGCCCTGTGGAAGGTGTGCTGTGTTCCGGAGGGTGGGCAGCTCTGGTGTTTGCAGGGGCCGAGGGTACGAGGGTCCAGCGAGGCAGGGAGAGGGGAATCGGCAAGATGCCTTCAACCCAACCAAAAGTCCTGTGCTCGTTCTTGAGCAGCCAAAATAGAAAGGGGCGCTCACTTCCTTGGGGTAACACAGCAGTTCAGGGGCCCTCAGATAGTTTTTTTGACGCTCTGTGTGGCTCGTGAGGTCTTAGTTCCCCAGCCAGGGATCAAACCCAGGCCATGGCAGTGAAAGCAGAGAGTTCTAACCACTGGACCGCCAGGGAATTCCCAGGAACTTCTTATTGATGTATAAGTACATATAGAAAAGCCACAGATTGTAACGGTACAGCTCAGTGGCTTTCACTACCGGGCACCCTTGTGTAACCAGTGCCCAGGTCCGCTCAGCCTATGTCCAGCCCCCGAAAGCCACCCGGTCCCCTTCTGTCTCTCCTCCAGGACATTTCTAACCATGAGGCTTTCTTCCACCTCTTCCAAAAATGAATCTAGTTTTCTTCTCCCTTACGATGCCAAATGTACTTCCCGAGGTGCCTGAGAGGTTTGAAGGTACTCGTGATAAACGCCACCTGCTGTGGCATCTTCCTCATCACTCTGTGCCCCGGGATGGAATCAGACATGCCAAAGTGTTCTAGATGGCCGGGGTCACGGGAGTGAGCGGGGAAGCACGCTCGTTCTGTGCTGATCTCCCCACTGCCGTTTATCTTGTGTGGTTGCTGGGGGAGCTCCCCGTTCATGGCTCTGCCTCCCGCTCTTAGGATGGTTCCTGTCAAGTGTTGATACTCCCTAAATAGTTGTCGAGTAAACAACTCTTTTCTTTCACACCTGCCCGGTCCTGCTCTCAGGGCTTCCCTGTTTGAGTTCCGTTCAGACAAAACTTATTCACCGCCGCTTTCCCACGAGCCCGAGGAGGGTCACCCTGAACCTCCCCCCGCCCCCGCCCCCCGCCATGGCAGCTGCGAAGGTGCTCGGGCACAGAGGGTGAAAAGCTTTCATCATCGTCTTGTTTCCACAGGAGCTTTACCCAGGTTCTGGAACTCTCCGCCGAGGCGAGTAAAGAGGCAGCCTTAATCAACCAGGAGGCCTGGGAAAAGGCCCAGGGCCCCAAGGCCACCAGCCAGTGGTATTTCAATCCTGAGGAGGCCACTGGTGGGGAAACTCAGGGAGAGCTAAGGAGCCTGCTCCTTTCGGGCCACGACGAGCCGTGAATCCACACGCAGGCTGTGTCCCCAACTGGAGTGGGGACCTTCCTGCACACCATGGGGAAGGAAGCACGTCCTGTGCCCCTTGTTTGGGGTGGGGAGAGGGGGTGGACCTGCAGTGACCCACATATGATGTTCTGGAAACTTGAGCACTTTATACACTTAGCCTAGCCATATAGTTATTGTTTTGTAAGATAGTCCCGTTGGATAATTTAACAAATAAAACTGTTTTGCAGTTGAGCCTTGGTTTCTCTGTAAGGGGCAGTGGAAGGTGCGTGTTGTCCCAGCTTATTCCAAAGAGCTGGTCCTGAGCCTCAGAACCTCACAGACATCATGAATCCAGCTGACCCTTGCACACTGTGGGTTTGAATTGCCGGTCCACTTATACGTGGATTTTTTTCAGTAGTAAATACTGTAGCACGACACGATCCGTGGTTGGTTGAATCCGCGATGTGTAACTGCGGCTACGGAGGGCAGACTATAGGTTCTACGCAGATTTTCGACTGCACAGCCCCTAACCCCCTGTTGTTCAAGGGTAAACTGTATTTCACTTTCAAGATGATTTCATGTCCTTTAGTCACAGGGCAGTTCTGTTCAACAACCCACAGCAAGTTCAGAGCTGGCCCTCAAATGGAAATTCCCCATCCAGTCCAAAGTCCCAGTGGCCACCCTTGGGGGACGCCTACGCGGTTTTGCCGTAGCTGAGATCTACACTCCACTCGGGACTATGGCACAGAGGGTCGGTCCAGCCCACGCTTGGGCTTCTGTCTACACCACGTGGGCCCTGGCAGTCTTCCTGGTTCCCAAGGAGCATTCCTCCATTGACATCTACCAGTTCCCACCTACAAGCAACTTTTTGACACGACACCCCATCCACTATCAGTAGTTTCTTGGTTCGCCCGCCCGCATGTCATGTGGATTACCTTCCCGGTGACCAGAGGCCTAAGAGGCACTCTGTTGTCCCCACATAACTTTTCCCTTCGTGGGCCGGTGGCCAAAGCTCAGATCTATAGAAATCTGACCTTGCTCTGGCAGGAAGGTGTGACCCAACATTCTCTTTACTTTCATTAGAGCTACTGCTCATAACAATAGCCAGAGGTTACACTGCACCATTTTTCTTGTTTGTTTGCATTTCCCTAAGCACTGGTGGAGTTGGATCCAGCTCTACATTTCAACGGTAAATTTTATCTTTAACTGATGGCAGCTAAGCTGATGTTCACCCAAGAATCCAAGGTGCTTCAACCCCCCCCAACTTTCATCCTTTCTCTTCCCAACCCCCATGTTTCCATGAACCAGGGCCATTCTAACAAATCCCACCTTCTCTGACCTGTTGTGTGGTGGTTTCTGAGTTAGTGTTTAATGGGGACAGAGTCTCAGTTTTGCAAGATGAAAAGTCTGAAAAAGTCTCAGTTTTGCAAGATGGTGCTGGTGGTTGCACACCCATGTGAATATTCTTAACACCAGTGACCTGTATGCTTAGAAATGATTACTACGGTACATTTTCTGTATTTCTTACCACAATAAAAAAATGTAAACAATGGGGGGAGAGTAATTATTCATAATCCAGGAAGACAGGAGAGAGAACAATAGCAGAAGAAACTTCAATCCATGTGTATGGTGAAGAACTAACCTTGCCTAAGAGAAATTGGGCCTTTGCTGTCAGCTCTTAGGAGGTGACTTCTAGGCCCCTGGAATGTTCTGCTGGATAGGAGTATCTGTGTGCATGAGGACTTCGGGCCATGGGGGGCTTGAGTACTGCCTTTGGAAGAGACTGGAGACTGAAAATCAGCCATGCAGCTGTACGTGACCATGCCCCAACAAAAACTCTGAGTACTGAGGCTTGGGTGAGATTCCCTAGTTAATAATTGGTGTGTGTTGTCACACAGTGTGGCTGGGAGGGGGAATTGCCATCTGTGAGTCTCCAGGGAGAGAGCAACTGGAAGCCCCATGTTTGGACCCCTCCTGGACCCTGCCCCATGCATCTCTTTCTTGGGTTGGTTTTAGTTGTATCTTACCACTGTAATAAACTGTAACCGTGAGTATAACAGCTTCCAATGAGTTCTGTGAGTCCTTCTAGTGAATTATTGATTAACTATTGATTAACTAACCAATAATGAACTACCGGTTAATTATTAACCGATAGCTAACTATTGGTTAACCAATAATTATTAACTAACCAATAATTAACTATTGGTTAATTATTAATTAACCATCTCAAAACCACCTGAGATGGTTTTGGGAGCCCTCCCGTTTGCAATAGGTGTCAGAAGCATGGGCAGTGGTCCTGCCTCTGTGGAAATGTGACGGTTCCTCAAAACGTTAAACGTAGAATTACCATGTGATTCAGCCATTTCACTCCTAGGTATGGACCTTAAAACAATTGAACCCAGAGACTCCAATAGATACTTGAGTACCAATGCTTATAGCAGCACTATTCACAATTGCCAAAAGGTGGACACAACCCAAATGTCCATCAGTGGGTGAATGGAAGAACAGAATGTAGTGCATCTATGCAATGGAATATTACACAGTCATAAGAAAGAGTGAAACTCTGATTCATGCTACAACATGGATAAACCTGGAAAACATGCTGAATGAAGAAGCCAGACATAAAAGGCCAAGTGTTTTATGATTTCATTTACGTGAAATGTCCAGAAGAGGCAAATCCATGGAGACAAAAAGCAGATCAGTGGTTGCCAGCAGCTGGGGGACAGGGAATGGGAGTGACTGCTAATTGGTGTGGGGTTTCCTGTAGGGTGATGAAATATTCTGGAACTAGATAGAGGTATTGGTTGCACAACCCTGAATATATTAAAAACCACTTGTAGTGGGTCAAATTGTGGCCCCCAGAATATACATCCATCTGGAACCTCAGAATGAGATTGAATTTGGAAGAAGGATTTTTGCAGATGTAATTAACACAAGGATCTCAAGGTGAGGTCATCTTGGATTGGCAGTGGGCCCTAAGTCCAATCACAGGTGACCTTATAAGAAAAGATCAGGGAAAACAGATATAAGACACAGAGAAAAGAAGGCCATGTGATGACAGAGGCAGAGATTGGAGCCGTGTAGCTACAAGCCGAGGAAGGCCAAGGATTGCCAGCAGCCACCAGAAGCTAGGAGAGAGGCATGGGAAGGATTCTCCCTTAGAGCCTCCAGAAGGAACCATCCCTGCCCACACCTTGATTTTAGTTTTCTGGCCACCAGAATGGTTAGAATAAATTTCCATAGTTTTAAGCCTCCAAGTTTGTGTTAATTTGTTATGACAGACCCAGGAAAAAATACACCACTGAATGGTACACTTTAATACGATAAGCACACGCATGCACACATACACAACCCTCCTGCAGCCTTCCTCATCTCCACCAATGACAGTCCAAACTTCTAGCACTTAGGCCGAACCCTCCTGTTGCCCTATATTCAGGATATAAGTGTCTGATAATCTGCATATGCTTGTTTTTCCCTCTGCTCTTTTTTCTTCTTTCTCCAGCAGCTTTTAGACTATTCGTCTTCCCTGTAGTTCCCTTCATCTTTTGGCCTCTATTAGCAATTGTGAAATCATGCCACCCACCGTCTAAAATGGGCAGTGGTATACCACATGCTTCAATTAAGCAAGGGCTCCAGAGGGCTGCAGAATGAACAGATGGTATGTAAAATACACTCTGTCATGTTAGGAACTAAACTTAAAACTATTTAAGAAAAAACTATTCATTGTGAAGATGAATCACATGGAAAGATTGCCGTGATTTTTTAAATGAAAACTGGTCAAGATAATGTGTAGGGTGTGGAACAATTTGTGTTAAAATTTCTAAAAATCTGGAAAGATAAACAAAAATGTGTTGAGAGAAGCTGTGTCCAGGGTGGGGGTACTGGGGACCCTGAGGTTAGAGGGATGCTTGCATGTGATTCTTGTTGCATTTTGTGTTTCTCTGGTCAAGTATTTTCTCATCTGCATGTATCACATTTCCACAAGAAATTCATACATGGAATTCAAGCAAACAGGCTTTCTAAATTGCCATGCTTACATTCAAGTTATGGTGTCTCAACCTCAGCACTGTTGATGTTTGCAGCCAGATCATTTTTTTGCAGCAGAAGCCATCCTGCATATTTTATTTTATTTTATTTTATTTTTTTATTTATTTGGTTGCACCAGGTCTTTGTTGTGGCACGTGGGCTCCTTAGTTGCTGCATGCGAACTCTTAGTTGCAGCATGCATGTGGGATCTAGTTCCCTAACCAGGGATCGAACCTGGGCCCCCTGCATTGGGAGTGCGGAGTCTTAACCCCTGCCCCACCAGGGAAGTCCCCATCCTGCACATTGAGGGATGTTGAGCATCATCCCTGACCTTCATTCACCAGATGCCAGTAGCAGTCCCCCAACCAGAAACATGTCTGGACATTGCTCAGTGACCCCAAGGGTTGGAATTGCTCTGTGTGGTAACCCCTATGATGAGGCAGGCCCATTCCCTGTGCCTGCCCCCACCCCCACCCCATCAGCCACACCATCTTCATTCATTGACCTCATTCATTTATGGCAGAAGAAAAGATGAGAATGCAGCTCTGTGTGACTGCTTCTCGACCATGACTGGGCTGAGAATTAACACAAAGTCTGGCAAAAATCTCGACAAGAGTTGGCAAACTACAGACTTTCAAGCCAAATCTGAACTTCCTCCCGTGCCTGCACATAAAGTTTTATTGAAACATAGCCACACCCATTTGTGTACATATGGTCTGTGGCTGCTTTCACTCTATAATGGCAGAGTTGAGTCTTTGTGGCAGAGACCATCTGGCCTGCAAAGCCTAAAGTACTTTCCATCTGACCTAGTAAAAGTTTGCTGACCCCGATCGAAACAGTAAAGTAGGAAATCTAAGTTGTAAAAGAACATAGTTAGCTTTTTCCTGTGGGACTCAAAAGTTGTCACCATTTTTGAATGAGGGTTTGTGGGCCAAGAAAGAGTTTTGCTTTTTGTGAATTGCTCCCATGCAAAAGAAGAGCTGTCCACTATTGCCGGAGAGGCAGGCATGCAAGGAGTTGGACAAAGTGCTGCGCTGGCGAGGGACCTTCCAAGACTTCTTATAGAATGAGCACACTGACTAGAATTGAACACCAAATATGCTGACAGTGATGGTCTGAGTGACAGATCATGAGTGAGCTTCTGCCCTCCTGGTTTCCGTTTTCCGTTTTTTTGGTAATGATCACATGTCAGGTCTACAATCAGAAAAACTGTGGTTTCATATCAA